TACTGTAGTATGTTTTAAATTTTTAGGGCAACACAGTGACACAGTTTGTTGGTTACCATGTGAACTAACTGGAGTCAGTAAGTTTCATTTAGATTATTCTACATTCCTTTTGTATGATGGAACGGGAAATGAAGGTGAGACTATCCAATATGATTTTAAGGTTTGAGAAATTGTGAAAGTACTTAACCCAACAAGCAGCTACATCCCATTAATAAGTAACTGTGCTTATTAAAGAATGAAATAAGATGTAATTTTTTCCTTTCAAGTGGTATCATTTCAAACATCTTCTACGTTATACGTATTTATTAAGTTATTTGGACTTTACTACTTAATTAATGGAATTGTTAGGTATGTCTGTCTTTTGGCCTGTGGGGCATAAGTAAAATATCACTGAAACACTAAGGTCACCAGGGACCAAGAAGTTCAGGAAGCCTCTGGCTTAGTACATAATGTTAAAGAACAAGTTTGTGAAAGCATTTCATGTGATGTAGTCATATATGCTAGTGTTTTGATAACTAGCTCAAGGTGCATTTATAAACTTTGGAAACTGAATAAATTGTTGATAGGAGTTATATTCTATTATAGATTGTAAAAAAAATTAGACATTATTTTGGTTCAGGTAGACCTTTCTATATCCATACAGATAAGAATCACATTTAAGGCTAATAGGTATAGATCATCTATCCTGGTAATTAGTCTTAAAATTTGTGGAACCTGGTAATTATATGTACAAACTTGTAGCTTTCTTTGTTCTACCGTGTTTTGTTTACTTTGTTTTGTTTTGCAAAGTTTCAAAGGGATTCTTGGTCTTCAAAAGCTTAGAAACAGATTTATAGAACAACTGCTTCATTTTTGCATAGTGTGCCTATTGGCACAAGGTTTTTTTTAGAGGTTAAGGATTAGATGGAAAAAGTATTTGCATCAACAATTTAAATAGAACTTACTATGAATTCCCAAAGAAATTAAAGAAAAATCTTTGAATTAATTACGCCTGTGGTTCAAAGGGTAAGTTAAAGGGTGCACAGTGAAATGTATCTCTTTTCTTTTTTTAATATAGTTTATTGATTATGCTATTACAGTTGTCCCATTTTCCTCTCTTCCCTACACTCTGCACAGCCTCTCCCACCCACATTCCCCCTTTTAGTTCATGTCCATGTATCATACTTACAAGTTTTTTAGCTTCTACATTTCCCATACTGTCTTACCCTCCCACTATTTTCTACCTACCATCTATGCTACTTATTCTCTGTACCTTTTTCCCCTCTCTCCCCCTCCAACTCCCATGTTGCTAACCCTCTATATGATCTCCATTTCTGTGGTTTTATTCCTGTTGTAGTTGTTTGCCTTTTGTTTTTGTTTTAGGTGTGGTTGTTAGTAATTGTGAGTTTGCTGTCACTTTACTATACATATTTTTTTTATCTTCTTTTTCTTAGGTAAGTCCCTTTAACATTTCATATAATAAGGGCTTGGTGATGATGAACTCCTTGAATTTGACCTTATCTGAGAAGCACTTTATCTGCCCTTCCATTCTAAATGAAAGCGTTGCTGGATAGAGCAATCTTGGATGTAGGTCCTTGCTTTTCATGACTTGGAATACTTCTTTCCAGCCCCTTCTTAACCGTAAGGTCTCTTTTGAGAAATCCGCTGACAGTCTGATGGGAACTCCTTTGTAGGTGACTGCCCCCTTATCTCTTGCTGCTTCTAGGATTCTTTCCTTCATTTTAATCTTGGCTAATATAATTATGATGTGCCTTGGTGTGTTCCTTCTTGGGTTCAACTTCTTTGGGACTCTGAGCTTCCTGGATTTCCTGGAAGTCTATTTCCTTTGCCAGATTGGGGATATTCTCCTTTATTATTTGTTCAAATAAGTTTTCCACTGGTGGCTGTTCTTCTTCCCCTTCTGGTACCCCTATAATTCGGATGTTGGAACATTTAAAGATGTCCTGAAGATCCCTAAGTCTCTCCTCATTTTTTTTGAATTCTTGCTTCTTGACTCTTTTCTGTTTGGCCATTATTTGCTTTCTTCTGGTCCACTCCATTGATTTGAGTCCCAGTTTCCTTTCCATCACTATTGGTTCCTTGTACATTTTCCTCTATTTCACTTAACGTAGCCTTCATTTGTTCTTCTAATTTGTGACCAAATTCAACCAATTCTGTGAGCATCCTGATCACCAGTGCTTTGAACTGTGCATCTGATAGGTTGGCTAATCTCTTTGTCGCTCAGTTGTATTTTTCTGGGTCTTTGATCTGTTCTTTCATTTGGGACTTTTTTTTTTTCTTCATATGCTTGTTACATAGTGAGGAGCAGAGGCTTAGGTGTTCACCAGGGCGGGGCAACCCATGTTGCTGGGTTGTGATGCTGTATGTTGGGGAGGAGTCTGATAGGGAATGATGGCACTTGCTCTGTTCTCTGCCAGACTTCAGTCCCTTCCCCTGCTTCCCCCAAGTAAGTGGGCCCTTCTGGTGCTGATTCCCATATGGGTGTGCTTGTGTACATTCTAGGACTCTGTGGGTCTCTCCAACAAACTCTTCTGTGAAGCTGGGAGCTTCTCCCAGCACCTCAACCCCCACAGGTGCTTTCAATCAGTGTTTTGAGGCTTTATTTTCCCTCAGTAGGACCCTGGATTGTGCCGTGTGTCTCACTTCCCAGTTGTTCCTCCTGGTTTATCTGCATGCAAATGTGGGACCACTTGGTCCACCAGCCACCTTGTGGGCCACACCCCTCCACTATCGCCGCCTCTCTGGTTCCACTAGCCACTGCTTTGCCGCAACTCCTCTCCACCTGGCCACCCGGCTCCAGCCCTTGTACTGATTTGAATGTTTCTTCTTTCACTCCTTGGTTGTCAGACTTCCTATACAGTTCAGTTTTCTGTCAGTACTGGTTGTTGTTTTTTTGTTTCTAAATTTTTGTTGTCATTATTTTGGTTGTGCGAGGAGGCATAGTGTGTCTGTCTACCTATATCTGCATCTTGGCCGGAAGTTGGAATGTCTCTCTTTTCTATGTCCTTCACAAATTTAATTTCTCTTTCAAAAAAGTAAACATTATCTTTAGCTTATTATTTTTCAGAAATTAGTAATTTTAACACTGAGAGTATTATATATAATAAGGGAGTTTAAAATATTAAATGATATACAAGTAGCTAGAACATAACTTTGGGTCTTTTAGATGTGCTTACCTGAATTGATTGTTAATTTAAGATTAATAACTGATGCTGTGTATAATCTTAGCTTCTATCAGTAGGACATAATTTATTTGGTTGGCGAAAAAGTTTGTTTAGTTTTTTTCCATACAAGTGCTCTAGTACTGCTTAGTTGTCTTTAACTTCATTCAAAACAACTTTGTTAGATTGTATTGTGACAGCTGTCATATCAGCATCATTTAAAAAAAAACCAAATTGGTGAATTTTGTGCAGCCATTTTAATATTGAAGATGGAAGAAAATACACAACATTGGTGGCACATTATGCTTTATTATTCCAAGAAAGGTAAAAATACAACTAAAGTGGAAAAAAATCTGCAGTGTATAGAGAAGGTGTTGTGACTGATTGAACGTGTCAGAAACGGTTTGCGAAGTTTCTTGGTACTGTTGACATTTTTGCCAAGTAATTCTGTGCTGTGGGGCTGTCTTATGCATTGGAAGATGTTTAGCGGCACCCCTGGCCTCTACCCACTAAAAGTCAATAGCAGGAGATAGCTGACTTACTCAAAACATCCAAATCAGTAGAGTTATTGGTAAAAATGAAAAGGGTGTCTTTTATTTCACAAAAAAAAAAAACAACTATACACACTTTCTGGCCAACCCAATAGATATATTTTGTAGTACTGATGTTTTTGTAATGAGTCAATCAAGTTATTAGTTGGAATAGTTAGTCATGAAAATATAAAAATCTGAATATAGTCTCTTGTGGACTAATGCATGTCTCCCCCAAGCCTTCATGCATATAATTCATGAACTAAAAAATGGTCAAAAGGATATAACTTTATTTTATTTTTGCCAATATTAGTTTATTTTTAAGAGCTTTCATATAGAAGATAAAGTAATTTTTAAACATTTTATTTATTTATTTTTAGAGGGAAAGGGAAGGAGGGAGGGAGAGAAATACTAATGTATGGTTGTCTCTCGTGTGTCCCCTGCTGAGAACTGGCCTGCAACCCAGGCATGTGCCCTGACTGGGAATCGAACCACGGTTGTTTGGTTCTCAGGCCCGAGCTCAATCCACTGAGCTACACCAGCCAGGGTGATAAAGTATAATTTTATCTCAGTGTGGAACTTAATAATTTTTCACTTACTGACTACATGGGCCATGAATTATATGTAGAGCTACATTTATACTATTTTGAATTATCATAATATCTCTGAAAGGTATAGTCAATATTATTATTTAGATTATATAGGCAATTAAATTCAGTGTTGGAAAGGTTAAATAACTTGCTCAAGATTCATAGTTTAGGCACTGGATCTAACCTGAAGTCATAGGATATTGAAAATCTACTATTTTGCCCTGGCTGGTGTAGCTCAGTGAATTGAGTGTGGGCCTTTGAACCAAACAACTGTGGTTTGATTCCCAGTCAGGGTACATGCCTGGGTTGCAGGCCAGTTCCCAGTGGGGGAAGCACAAGAGGCAACCATACATTGATATTTCTCTCCCTCTCTCCTTCCCTTCCCCTCTACAGATAAATAAAATTTAAAAAAATTTTAAATCTACTATTTTTATACAATCTCTGTAGATATGTTGTATTTATTTTAATATACATTTGTCAGGTATTGCTATGTAGTGAGTTGGCAGTTTTTGAAATTAGTTACAATATAACTGTCTTCACTGTAGTTACAATGAAAGTAAATAGTCTGTTGCTTATTAAAGAAAGAATTAAATATAATGTAATGTACTTAATAAAGAATCAAGTCATTTCATGTATAGTTTTATTCTTATGCTGCACATTTTACTGAGCAACTAACTTTCTTAAACTCTCACATACATGTTTATTTTTTTTTTCTGTAGGGAGATTCACGAACTCTTCCATTTTCTGAGAATGTGAGTGCTGTTCAAAAATTAGACTTTTCAGATACAGTGGTGCAACAGAAATTGGATGATATCAAGGATCGAATCAAGAGAGAAATAAGGAAAGAACTGAAAATCAAAGAAGGGGCTGAAAATCTGAGGAAAGTCACAACTGATAAAAAAAGTTTGGCTTATGTGGACAACATTTTGAAAAAGTCAAATAAAAAATTAGAAGAACTACATCACAAGCTACAGGAACTAAACGCACATATTGTTGTATCAGATCCAGAAGATGTTACAGGTATATTTTTTTATTTGATGTATATATGACATAATAAGAAGAAATATATTATTTTTAAAAATAGCTTTGTGATATATACTTTTTGGTTTTTCTGAAAGTACAGGTTTTTTATTTTCTCTTATAGTTAAGGTCTTATTTATGTTCTGTTCAGAAGTGCATTGAATTGATGGGTACGAAAATGGAAACATTTACTTAGAGAAGAATAAGCCTGCTGTCTACTTTCCCTCTGTCAGTAAGATATTACTTAGAGTTATTTCTCTAGTATTAATGTTTTGTATTGAGTCAGCCACATGTTTTTACCTGATACATTCTTGTGATCAGCAGCATGAGTTTGCTAGATGACTTTTTAAAGTTAAAAATGCATTCTGTGACCAAGGGGTGTTTTATTCTTTACAAATAAAGTTACTCAAACGTATGACCTTTGTTCTTCATGCTATAAGCAACTAAATTAACAAATAAAACCACTGGCAGATTGTTTAAAAAACAAGAAAATTTAAAAGCCACACATTACCATTTTTTTCTTATTTTAATTTTTAAGTATATTTTATTGATTATGCTATTACAGTTTTCTCATTTTTTTCTCCCCATTGCCCCCTCCACCCACTATTCCCATTTCCTCTAGAAATACCCCTCTTAGTTCGTGTCCTTGGGTTGTACATATAAGTTCTTTATCTTCTCCATTTCCTATACTGTTTTTAACCGCTACCCCATCTGTTTTGTACCTATCAATTATGTTTCTTAATTCCTGTACCTTTTCCCCCATTATCTCCATTCCCTCTCCCCACCAATAACCCTCCATGTGATCTCCATTTCTATGATTCTGTTCCTGTTCTAGTTGTTTGCTTAGTTTGTTTTTGATTTTGATTTTTGGGGTTTTTTTAGGTTTAGTTGTTGATAGTTGTGAGTTTATTGTCATTTTATTGTTCATAGTTTTGATCTTTTTATCAGATAAAGTCTCTTTATCATTTCATATAATAAAGGCTTGATGATGAATTCCTTTAACTTTACCTTATCTGGAAAGCACTTTATTTGCCCTTCCCTTCTAAATGAAAGCTTCGCTGAATAGAGTAACCTTCGATGTAGGTCTTTGCTTTTCATGATTTGGAATAGTTCTTGCCAGCCCCTCCTTGCCTTAAAGGTTTCTTTTGAGAAATCAGCTGATAGTCTAATGGGAACTCCTTTGTAGGTAACTGTCTCCTTTTCTCTTGCTGCTTTTAAGATTCTCTCTTTATCTTTAAACTTTGGCATTTTAATTATGATGTGTCTTGTGTTCCTCTTGGGGTCCAATTTGTTTGGGACTCTAAACTTCCTGGACTTGTATGTTTATTTTATTCACCAGATTGGCAAAGTTTTCTTTCATTATTTTTTCAAATAAGTTTTCAGTTTCTTGTTCTTGCTCTTCTCCTTCTGGCACCCCTATGATTTGGATGTTGGCATATTTAAAGTTGTCCTGGAGGTTCCTGAGTCTCTCCTCATTTTTTTGAATTCTTATTTCTTCTTTTAGTTTCAGTTAGATGTTTATTTCTTCCTTTTATTCCAAATCGTTGATTTGGGTCTCAGCTTCCTTTCCTTCACTGTTGGTTCCCTCTATATTTTTCTTTATTTCACTTCGCATAGCCTTTACTTCTTTTATTTTGCAGCCATACTCAATCATTTCTGTGAGCATCCTGATTACTAGTGTTGAGGTCAGTATCTGATAGGTTGGCTATCTCCTCATCACTTAGTTCTTTTTCTAGAGTTTTTTTATCTGTTCTTTCATTTGGGCCATATTTGTGTCTCGTGTACCTGTTACGTAGTAAGAGGCAGAGCCTTAGGTATTTGCCAGGGCTGGGCAACCTGCTCCACTGCATTCTGGCGCTTTATGTGGGGGAGGGGTCAGAGAGGGAACAATGCCACTTAATCCGTTTTCCTCCCACTTTCAGTCACTGCTCCCTCTTCCTGCAAGCAAATGTCGCCCTTCCAGTTTCTCCATTGGTGATGATTCCCAGAGGGGGGTGGGCTTGTGTACATTCTAGTTTGTACCCTTATGGGCCCTTCAGATGGACTCTCCTGAGAGACTGGCAGTTTCTTTTGCTACTGTAACTTTTTTTTCTTTGGAAAATATAACCCATAAGTCTTAATTGAAGAACATAATTTTAATCGATTGATTTTTTAATTGAATTTATTGGGGTGACATTGGCAAACAGATTTGAGGTATACAGTTCTACATACATCATCTGTATATTGTGTTGTCTATTTACTACTCCAAGTTAAGTCTCCTTCCATTACCATTTATCCCCCTTTACACTCTTCTCCCTCCTCACCCCCACTTTCCACTGGCAGTCACTGTACTTTTGTTTGTTCCATGAGTGTCTATCTTTGTTTCTCTTTGCTTAATCTCTTAACTGTTCTCACCCACAGTAGAATTAACAAACGTTTATGTTGGACATTTTTTAGTGCCTCAGTAAATAAAAATAGAAAAGCTACCTTGTTCCATCCTAGGCCATCTCTCTGAAGGCAGCACTGCTAACTTTTTGTTGTTTATACTTCCAGAAAAAAATTTCTGTGTTTGTACCAATATTCATTCATTCATATATACATTCTCTCTAAAACTTTTTACTTAAAAATTATTTAATACCATTTGATCTAATAGTTTTTTCTTTGCAAAGATGGTATTTTGAGCAAGGTATTTAATCTCTACAACCCTCCATTTGTTTATTTGCAATAAAAAGTGATATGTAAGGAGTGGTAGAGTACTAATGTATCTTGGCTCTGTAGAAATTATATAAGAAATGGTGATTAGGTAGTAAGTATTAACAGATATAAGTAAAATTAAATTTAATTAAGAAATTCAGATTGCCCATCTCAAAAGTTGCATAAAATACTTTTGATACTCCCTCTATTTGACAACCTATTTTAATGGATCAGTTTCAACATTTGGGACTATTCTTAGGGGTTTCATTTGAAGAACTCTCTATGTACTGACTTCACCTTTGTAAGAATAATCAAACCTTGAAAATGAAAGAAGTCATAGCCAAACAAGTCTTTTTTAAAATTTTATTTATATTTTTTTAAAAAAATTTTTATTTATATTTTATTGTTGGTCAAGTACAGTTCTTATTTTAAAGCTTAAATAATCCCAAAGATGTGAATTACAAAGCTAGCTAAAAAGAACTCTTCAACTCCTCAGCTAGTATTTTCCTACTCATGCACTGAATAATTACATTATAAATGGAAATTTGTATTATCAAAATGCCTTTTTAAAATAATGTTAATAAACTTAGAAATAACCTATTCCAATGGAATTTTGCTGAGCTCTATATTTTTTGCCCATTACTTTTTTAGGGAAGGTCTAAAATAAGAAATGGTACTGGAGCTTTTAAACTCTGTTTACTTAGGGAAAGTATTTCCCTCCTCTCAGAATACCCATAACTACCTTGTAATTGGAATACAGAAGAGTTCTTACCATACAATGAGTAGTCCATTTGGTTTCCCCCAATCCTTTTAAAAATGGTAACTTTACTGAAGTATAAATTATATATGGTAAAATGCACATATTTTAAGTTTATGACTTGATGAGTTTTAACAGATGTACTATATATGCTCAGGTAACCTTCACTACCACCATTGATTCTGAAATTTTCCATCACTTCAGTGGTTCTTAATCTCTAATCCCCATCTCTGATTTAGGCAACTGTTGGTCTGCCTTCTATGACTGTAGATTGAATTTGTTGTTCCTAGATTTTCATATAAAAAAATGATGTTTGAGTCTTAACTAGCAAATTCCTTTTCTCCCCCAAAAGCCATTTGGGATATTACTGTAAAACCCTCCCTAACTTTCTCTGATTATCTTCTTTATTATACTTTGTCCATTCGTTATTTTATTATGTTGTGTTGTACATGTATATATCACTTACTAAACTTTAGGCTCCTTGAGAGCAGGGATGTGTGTTCATCCACTGTGTTCAGGACTTATCTTAGAGCTTGGAACATAGTAGATATTTAGATTTCAGTGTTAGCTGATTTTCCAGCTACAGGCTAATAAAAGTGTTCTGAGCATATTCTACTTGGTCTAGACTAAGCTATGATATTCAGTAGGTTAGGGGTATTAAGTGAATTCTGATTTAGGATATTTTAAAATTTACAATAGTTTTACCAGAATGGAACCCCACTGTAAATTGAGCATGTATATGTGTATTAATAGCAGAAGTATTTGGCTAATTCCTGGTGTCTTGGGTGGGGGCAGTTATGTAAGCAAATCAATGACGAATCAAAAGAGGGACAAATTTTAAGTCTGCATTGTGTAAATTATCACTGTGTAAGTAGTTAGACAGCTCTTAATTCATATCTGCAGTAATTAGCTCTATCAATCTTTCTTATTTATAAAATAAGGATTTCTATCAGATGAACTTGCACAATAAGATGTGTTTGTTTTTCTTTCTGCTGTGTGTCCCTTAACCTCTCATTTTCTGTCCCCTTTTGTTTTAAAACTGACCTGTTTTTCAGTACTGATCTGGTATTTTTCTATTGTACTATCTATTAAACTTATCCATTAAAGTGGTTTAGAATAAGTCCCAGCACTCAAGATGCTAATAGTATCAGAGGGACAACATACATGAAAATAGATTATTATAATACTGTGTGATACATAGTTCAGTGGAAGGAGGAAAATATACTTTGAACACATTAGAAAGGGCACCTGATCAGATTGGGGATGGTTAGAGATTTTCTGAAGAAAGGAAGACCTAAGATGAATTAACGATAGTATGAAGGAAGTCACATGCATTGCATTTTTCAGAAGTAGAGAGAGAGAGATTTTTTTAACTGAACATGGGATTTCACAGGAGAATAGTAATAGAAAGTTAACCTAAAGTTACTCACTATAAGGCCTTTAATGCCCAGCTATGAAGGTGGAATTTATTTGGGGCTTCTTTAATCTAGTATCTTAATATTATATTGAAACCTTTTTATTGAATTGGTATAACATACATTTTAGAATTGTATGCTAATACTTAGAAGGTTAAAAGTGTGAACTATTGTTATATAACACCCCACACCTCAAAAGCTGATTTGGTAATTAGTAGCAGTAGCAGATGGAAATTTGTCATTAGTATTAATCATGATATATAGTTTTAAGTGTCTACTTAAGAGTAGATCCAACATTAAATGCAGTTTCTTAGAGTGGAAAAATAATTTCATTTTTCAGAATTTTTTTAATGAGGAGGACATTAATTGGGTGTTCTAGTTACCCCTATTTTGAAATGTTTCATTGTGAAGAAAATTGCTTAACAGATATATTGGCAACTGTATGTTTTCTGTGCTGTAACTTACCATACCTATAAGAAACAAAACTGAAAAGAAGAAAAGTAGCAGTTTAAAAGGGAAAATAGGTGAAATTTGAGGAAAACAGCAAAATGGTTCTCTAATTTTTGAATGAATAATAAGTGGGCTTTATAAAGCAAGATGTATCTGAAGGTTAAATTTCTGCCTGGCACACACACTTTTGTAACCTTTACAAATTACTTAACGTCTCTGAGCTTCTGGGCAGGGGAGTTATTTGTAAAATGAGGTTATATTACAAATCTTCATGAGTTTCTTTGAAGGTTAAATGAGCAGAAATACAGTGACTTAGCCTGAGCCCTGACATGTATGTAATTTTATTGCACCCTAAACATTGGTCTAAGACTATACAGAATTTATCTTCACAATAACCCCCAATTTGTGGCTGAGAAAACTAAAACACAGAAATGTTAAGTAAGTATGTGATTAAGACCACACCAATAAATAGCAGCTACAGGATTCTAACCAAGACATTTTGACCTTTACTACTAATTATATTTATGTTTTTGTAATCCTTAAGACATACTTTTCCATAAAAAGTGTTAAATATTATTACAAGTTCACAGACTGTTAGAATCAATGGATATTTAATGTCTTAGTACAACCTGCTTTAATGTGCAAAGATTTCTTATATAGCATCTTCGATAGATTATAATCTAGCTTCTGTTGTAAATGCTTCCAGAGACAGGGATTTTATTAATATTGAGGCAGACTCTCACCGTTAGATAACCAAAATGTGAAGGATTTCTCTTTATCCTGTGATAAAATATTTGTCCTTTTTTTAAATTACTTTCACCAATTGCTTCTAATTCTCTGCTTTATGGGGAAATACTAAGTGGACAGATTCTTTTATAGACAAATGTTTAAGGAAGAATTTCTCTTTTCTTATCCTAGGATGAACACTATCAACTATCCAACAAAAACATAATCATACTCTTCTCAACTGATGGCCTTCTTCTCTGAATATATTCCATTTCTTTTTAAAAATGTGCTTATAAATTATATACCATTATTTTTGTGATTTTGATTTAAGAGAGTCTTGTGGCATTTATGTAGTTAAAAAATGGAAAGAAAAATTATTCACATATCTGAGTACACTAAAGTGTTCAGACATTGCTATAATGTGCAGTTAATTTATGGACTCAACAGAGATACGCTTACTCTGCCTACAGTGACTACTGTTAATTAATGTTTGTTGAATGTTTGCTGTATACAGTTCACTTTTCTAAAGCTTTATACATATAACTTAATTACAATAATGCTGTGAGATAGATGATTTTCACTATCTGATGATTTAACAGATGAGGAAAATGAGGCAGTGTTGTTTATTAAGTAACCAACCCCATATTACATGGTTTGTGTCAAAATTAACATTTAAACCTAGGCATTCTTTTTAAGTCTATCTTATTGATTATGCTAGTACACTTGTCCCATTCTTTTTCTCCCCTTTATCCCTCTCCACCTGGAACCCCCTCCCCCCCAGCCATTCCCACCCCCCTTAATTCATGTTCATGGGTTATATACATAAGTTCTTTAGCTTCTCCCATTTCCTATAATAATCTTAACTTTCCCCATCCCATCTGTTTTGTACCTACCAATTATGCTTCTTATTCCCTGTATAATGATCCCACACCTATTTCGAGAGTTACATTCCAGAGACTCCCCGCAATACATGAAAATCTGCAAAGTAGCTGCATTATATATTTATTTTATTATTTATATATATTTTAAGGCTTTGTAAACCTTTTCCACTCTCTTATTAACCTTTCCCACACTCTTGTAAACACTTCATATGCTCTTAAACACTTTCTACACTCTTAAACCTACATAATTTTAACAACATAAAATTCTATATGGGTACAGTATACCACAAAATCCCACAATACAGCGAAAAAAACTGCCATACAGTGAAGTCGCAATAAGTGAACCATGATATAGCAAGGGACGACTGTACTTTTCCCCCCCAATTCTCCCTCTTCCCCATCCCCACTGATTATGCTCCATGTGATCTATGATTCTGTTCCTGTTCTAGTTGTTTGCCTAGTTTGTTTTTTATTTTGTTTTGTTCTGTTTTGTTTTTTAGATTTGTTGATAGTTTTAAGTTTGTTGTCATTTTACTGTTCACAGTTTTGATCTTTTTCTAAGATAAGCCCCTTTAACATTTCATATAATAAGGGCTTGGCGATGATGAACTCCTCTAACTTTACCTTGTCTTGGAAGCACTTTATCTGTCCTTCCATTCTAAATAATAGCTTTGCTGGATAAAGTAATCTTGAATGTGGGTCCTTGCTATTCATGACTTTGAGAACTTCTTTCCAGCCCCTTCTTGCCTGCAAGGTTTCTTTTGATCAATCAGCTGACAGTCTTATGGGAACTCCTTTGTACGTAGCTCTCTTCTCTTGCTGCTTTTAAGATTCTCCCCTTTTTAAAATCTTGGGTAACTTGATTATGATGTATGTGTCTTGGTGTGTTCCTCTTGGGGATCCAACCATTTTGGGACTCTCTGAGCTTCCTGGATTTGTCTATTTCCTTTGCCAGATTGGAGAAGTTCTCTTTCATTATTTGTTCAAATAAGTTTTCAGGTTCTTGCTGTTTCTCTTCTCCTTCTGACACCCCTGATTCATATATTGGAATGTTTAAAGCAGTCCCTGAGGTTCCTAAGCCTCTCCTCATTTTTTTTAATTCTTATTTTTTTATTCTATTCCAGTTGAATGTTTATTTCTTCCTTTTGTTCCAAATCATTGATTCATATCTTGGCTTCCTTCCCCTCACTGTTGGTTCCCTGTATAATTTTATTTATTTTCCTTTGCATAGTCTTCACTTCTTCCTTTATTTTGAGGCCGTACTCAGTCATTTCTGTGAGCATCCTGACTACCAGTGTTTTGAACTCTGTATCTGAAAGGTTGGCCATCTCCTCATCATTTAGTTCTTTTTATGGAGTTTTGATCTGTTCTTTCATTTGGGCCATATTGCTTTGTCTCATCAGCACACTTGCTACGTTGTAAGGGGTGGAGCCTTGTGTATTCGTCAGGGCAGGGCAGCCAACTTTACGAAGTTGTGGTTTGGTATGTGCAGGACAGGTCAGAGACAAAACTGTCAGTTGCTCTGCTCTTGCCCCACTTGCAAGATGTAGGTAGTTTTTCCCACTACCACAACCCCCACAGGTTTCTACAGCCAAAGGCTCTGATGCTTTATTTTGTCTGCACTGAAACCCTGGGTTGCACGATCTGTCCTGTGCCCCAATTGTTCCTCCTGGTTTATCTGCACACAAATGGGGGCTGCCCGGTCAACCAGCTGCCACCTCATACCCCTGGTCTGCCAACCCCCACCTTGCCTGCCATGTGTCCTCTTCCCTTTGGCTGCACATTTCCGCCCCTCCTACCAGTGTGGATGAATGTTTCTCCTTCAACATCTTGGTTGTCAGAAGTTCTATTTCCAGAGAATTACTTCAGTGGAACTTCTGTAATATTTGAATATGCTTTGACTCAAACTAATGAGGTAATGAGTAGAGAATTTTATTTAATTGTCAACTATCCTAGCCAAATTGATTTAATTTTAAAATAATAGTATTGCAAAAACACTGGGCAGTGATCTAATTCAACTTCAGTTTCAATGTAATCCCTTCTACAGCATACTTGGCAGATGGTCCTGCAAATCTACTTAAATATTTTCTTAACTTGAATTTTTATATTATCTGGAACCATAAGGAAATTACATTTAGGTGACTTCAAGCTCATCTCCAACCCTATAATTCTTTATTCCTTGAAAATATTAACTTGGCAATTTTAATCAACAGTTAGTCCTAGTAAGTAATTTTAACATATTATTTAATTTACAGATTGTCCAAGAACTCCAGACACTCCCAGTAGTGACCCTCGTTGTTCTACTAGCAATAATAGATTGATGGCCTTACAAAAACAGTTGGATATAGAACTTAAAGTAAAACAAGGTGCAGAGAACATGATACAGATGTATTCAAATGGATCATCAAAGGTAAGTACAATAAATGTAAGTGTAGACAGTCAGTCCCCAATATTCTCAGATTCCATAAATGTATGTTCACCTACCCAGTAGGATTTATTCATAACCCGGACAACAGTGCTCATGACACTTCCACAGTCATTAGTGGACATATACAGAGGATCAATACATTTGAATTATCTGATGCATATGTTCACAGCTGAGGATGAACAAGATGACACTCTGCCTTCTAATATAATCACTTATACTGTAAACCAGTGATTTCTCAACCAACATGCTGCAAGAATTTTAAAAACTTGCAATAATTACCCTCTGACTATTAATAACTTAAATACCCTCTGACTATTTAGTCAAGGGCACTGACCTCCTTTCCCTTAGGTTGTCAAATAAAAAGACAACAGCCAACACAATAGCCATCTGGTGTGAATCAAATTTATACCTTTTGTGTGTGTGTGTGTGTGTGTGTGTGTGTGTGTGTGTGTTCGGCAAAAAAAAAAAATAACAACTTTTAGTGTGCTGCAGAATTTTAGTAATTAATTTGTTTGTTTGCCATGAAATGAAAAGGCTAAAAAATTGCTGCTGTAAACAAGTATTTTGTAGAACAAATTGGAAAGAAATGGGTTTTAAAAGAGCTTGTTTCTATTTAAACCCATCAAGAAAAAATTTTGGCTGAATGAGTAAAGGATACACAGAAATTCTTCATATTTGCAACTTTTCTGAAAATCTAAACTTGTGAAAAGTTCATTTTAGAACATTTAGGCTCTAATGGGTTTTCCATCACTTATATACAGGTTTTGAGAAAAGAACAAATGAAAAGATAAGACATTCTACTTGGTTTGTGGGTTCTTAGGGAATCTCGTGTGAGCATATAACTCCTAATTGAAAATCAGTGTTGTAGAGAACAATTGTCGCTAATGCAAATGTGTCTTTGTTCTCTGGTATAGTATGGAAGAAAAAATGTTGGGAACCACTAAAACAGATTATCATAAAAGTTCTTTCTAATCTCAGGTTCTGTAGCTGTATAATTTACAAAAGTCTTAGAAAGGTGGATTTATTATAAAATCCACCCTTGGATTTTTATTTCAGATACTCATTTCAAATATTCTTGCCTCTACAAATCAGTTTTTCTTCTATATTTAACAGAAGTTTGTTAAATAATTTCAGAATGAAAGTTCAAGTATTATTATTATTATTATTATTACTATTATTTCAGTTTAAGAAGAATTTGAAATTGGAGGTGAGGGGAGAATCTTTGCTTGGAGCCATGCACCATGCCTACCCACCCAAATGAAATTTGGGAAGATGCAGAAAAGAAAGAGTATATTATAAATAAGATTTTTAATCTTAATTATGAAAATTAGATTTTATGCTGTGTTTCAAAAGAATTTTAAATTATTTTTAGAGAAATATATTCATTTATATGTGATACTTATATACTTGATAGCATATTATTTCACTAAGTTTAAACATTTATTATGCGGTAAAAGAATTGGTTTTTGTGTGTTTTTATTTTTAGTATTAATCTTTAGTATCTTTTTTATCTTCATCAAACATCATTTTGGACTTCTTTTTAAGAGAAATATGTGAATGCACCGCATTATGCAGAGTGTTTTAAAATTAAGTTAACTCAGCTATCACCCTCTGGAGTAAGGTTTTTTACATTTAGGTTTGATAGATTAGATTGAGAAATTCGTGAATTCTTTGAGGTTATAGGAGAAGTGAGTGTCACAATGGTAGATGAATGATGAGAGAGCCATAACACCACTCCCCTCCAAAACTGAGCAGGGTTATGGACAAATTGAAACAAATATATAACTTATGATAACCACAGTCCAAAATGAACAGGGCTATGAGCAGCCTGCTAAAACAAACAGATAATTTCTTATAGCTTTTATTTATATTTTTACATTTTTAAAGATTCTATTCATTTATTTTTAGAGGACAGGAGGGATACAGAGAAAAACTTCAGTGTGTGAGAGGCAATATCAATCGGTTGCCTCTTGTGCACTCTCAACTGGGGATCTAGGCTGCAACCCAGGCATGTGCTCTGTCTGGGAATCGAACCCATCACTCTTTGGTTCACAGGTCAGCACTTAATCCACTGAGTCACACCAGCCTGGGCCAATAGCTTTTACTTTTAATTAGAAGGCTTATTTATTTGAGAATGGCCCGGGTGAAGGTCCAAAGCATATTAACAGCTGCTATAGTTTCTGAGGTAAGCCTGCCAGTTATTTTTATCTAGATTGGGTTCTTTATCTTTAAACCTCTCAAGGAGTCATAATGTATCCTCGTGAGATTAGGGATGATTGTAAATTGAAGTTTTATGGAATGTTAATTTATTCAGTAAGGCCTGCCAGTTTGATAGCAGTTATGGTGGGCTCTGCAGTATGAATGTATTAAAGATAGTGCTTTACACATAGTAGGTGCACTAGAGATAGATACCCTGCTTTCAACAGGCTTACTATCTGAAAAGGAGATATCACAAATAGATAATTATAATATATAATAATGGTATATACAAGTTACTTTAGAAGCATAGTAGTCACTTAGCTGCCTGAAGAAATTATGAAATTCTTTGTATAAAATTTTAAGTAGGATTTGGAGTTTAAGAAGGAATTACTTTGTAGGAATGGTGAGCTGGGTAAACCCAGGATACAAGGTCTGTCCAGAAAGTATCCAGCCATCTACTATGAAGAATTGAGGCCTTTATTGAAGAAGATACAGGATACAAGAAACATTGTACACAGAACAGTGATGCCTCAGTCCCCTTCAGATACACACTTTGGCACCTCACACAGTTCTCCCAATTGCCATCAGATGCCCCATCATATTTTCCTTAATCTCATCAATGGTCTGAAATCTCTTCTCTTTCAAAGGTGATTTTAGTTTGGGGAAAATCCAGAAGTTGCAGGGCACCAAATCTGGGCTGTAGGGGGACTGAGTCACCTGGGTGATTTGATGTTTCACCAAAAAACTCTGCACGAGATGTGATGCATGAGCAGGTGCACTGTCACGATGAAGCTGCCAATTACCAGTTGTCCATAGCTGTGACCATTTTCACTGTATGCATCTCTCAACCATGAAGATCATTAAGGTAATACTCCTTAATTGTTTGGCCTGGAAGAGCACTACTCATGACGGACAACACCTTCCCAATCAAAAAACACATGGTCTTAATCTTGCTGCGACTTTGCCACGCGTTCTTCAGGCACAGAGAACCAGGTGACTTCCATTGGGATAACTGAGCCTTTGTTTCTAGATCACAGCTGTGGATCCATGATTCATCTCCATTTATAACCTTCTTAAGGAAATCTCATTCATTGGTAGCAGTTTGAATCAAGTCATTAGCAACTGCAGCATGATGTTTCTTCTGCTCTGCTAGCAAAAGCAGTGGAATGAATTTTGCTAACACACATTTCATGCCAAGATCCTGTGTCAAAATCTCGGATACAGTAGTTTTCGGAGTCCCCAGATCAGCTTGTAGTTTTCGCACTGTCAGTTGTGATCTTTGTTGATTACAGCTCATACACGTTCAGCATTCTCAGATGTTCTGCTTGTTGTGGGCCTTCCAGAACATGGATCACTTTAAAGAGATTCTCAACCATCTTTAAAGCATTTGTGCCACACTTTTCTTTGCACTGCATTCTCGCATTGTCTCTGAAAGCCTTCTAAATCATCTGAATAGTTTCTGCAGAGGAATGTTAAAGCTTGATGCAAAATTTGATGCAGATTCGTTGCTGTACTTGCTCTATTATTTTGAATGTGATGGCCACGCAGTACACATGCTCACTCAACAGTGTTTACTACCCCCACTGACTAGTACAGTGAAGTCCTCCTTGTTCATGCATGCACATTCCAGTCTACTCTACCTGGCCGCCAAGTTACATCTGTGACACGCAAACCATTCTTTATATATTAACAATGGCTGGACATTTTCTGGACAGATCTTGTGTATAGAGTAAGGAACTGTAGTTATTCTAAAAAATGGAAGTGCTTTAGTATGACTATAACAGAGGCCCTTGACTTATTTCTTATCCAACATATCTGAGGGTGGATAGAATGCACTTGTAATAGTAACAATCATCAATTCTACCATTTTCAATGAGAGGCCATGCTCTTATGGGAGAACAAATCTGAATCTCCAGAAAGGCACATCTTATTTGAGAAAAGTCCTCTAGGTCATTTGAATGGGACTTTTTATTTCTCTACTGGTAGAGCTCTCACTCTATGAGATACAATGAGAGGTATGGCATATTTGAACGGCAAACCAGATTATAAAGTACTGTGGGCAAAATTAAACAGTTGAGATTTTATCTTACAAGATATGTGGAACTGTTCAAAGACTTTTAGCAGAGGAAATACATGATCAGATTTAAAGTTTACAAAGTTCACATCCTTCTTCAGACTTGGGGAACTAGAGAAGGTCAAGTATACAGGCAGTAAGTTTAAGTAGGCTTTTGCAGTAGTCCAGGTTAAACAGGCCTCATCCCTCTTGTAACAGCAATTAAAGCAAAGAAGACAGGGTCAAAGCTCTTTAAATAGAATAAACATGTGATGTCTGGATATGAGGAAAAAGGCAGAGTCAAAAATGATTCTTAGATTAGTTATGTGGACAGACTGGTAAATGGATATGCCCTTCAGAATAAGTAATGTACCAGAGCATATTTAGAGACATGGATGATTAATTCAGTTTGGCAATAAATGGATTTCTTCTGAACTTTGGTTACTGAATTCTGTATAACAAAATTATTACCCTGGTATATATTATACCCAGAGTTGTTCTTTTCAGAGCTAAGACACATATTTTTACAATCCTGTTGAAAACCCTCCGATGGACTTCTAGCATGCTTGGAACAAAATCCAGAGTCCTTACTGTGACTCTGCAGTTCATACATGATTTATTTGCCTTTTGCTACTTTCTGGTCTTTTCTTCTAAAACACTTTCTTTCTCCTTACACACTAGCTATATTGGTTTCTTTGGATACCTTAAACATATCAAGCCTGCTCTTACCTCAGAGCGTTTGTGTCTGTGTCTCTGCCTATGTTATCTTTTTTCTCAAGAACTTTCATGGCTTTCTCTCACTTCAGTACAGTCTCTGCCTAGACGCTACCTTTTAGCAAGCTCTGTACAACAATCCTAAACAAAAGAGCAACCTCTGTCTCTCCTTATACCTTTCACTGTGTTACCACTACCTGAAGTTATAATTTATACAATCTATTTCTTTGTCATCTGTTAACAGAATGTGAATTTCATGGCTCCAAGTAGTACCATTTGTTTTCAGAAAACTCTCTGAGGGCTTGATAAGGCATATTGAAGAGATGTTTCCCATTCATATATTCAGGTGACAGACCAAGTTGTTTATCAAAATTTGGGGGTCTTTCTAGCCTCTGTCACTTTTTTTTTTAATGTTTCCAAATTTTTTCATACTTTCTTCTCACTTGAAAATACCCGACCCTCTATCCAGGCTTCTCTCTCTTCAACCTTTTAATCTTCACATATTCCAGTCTTATCTGTATTAGTTAGCAGCCCATAAAACCTTTCTGGTTTCCTTCAGATAACATTGATCCTATCTTCCTTTGACATTTTCTTTGGCTATTGACAATATTCTGATGCATATAATAATCATCTGTATCTATCATATGAAACTCTAAGTTTTATAGGATTGCATTCATCTAGTTATTAAATTATTATTTTCACTGGATGTGACCACATCTGTAAATACATGATGGAGAAATATAGTGTTGGTTTATTTATTTATTTCTGAAAGCTCTGTGTGTCATGTAGTTTATGACTTGTAAAACAAAAATAGTTTTTTAAATTCTCACCCGAGAATATATTTATTGATTTTAGAAAAGGGGGCGGGGGGGAGAGAGAGACAGATAGACAGACAGAAGGAGAAAGAGAAACATCAATGTGAGGAAGAACATTGATCATGGCCTGCTCTCTATGCCCCGACCAGAGACTGAACCTGCAGCATCGTTAGGTGCCCTGATCTGGGATCAACCACAACCTTTCGGTCCTGAGACAACAGTCCAATCAACTGAACCACCTGGCCAGGACAAAAATTGTCTTTTATAAAATAAAAAAATTTTATTATCTGGAAATATAAAATTTGTTCTTTTAATTTATAATTGTAAAATATTATATGTTCAAAAGAAACTATCAGGCATTGTATAATGTTAATTAATATTAGGTAACTACTTTATTAGGTTGAAGCATGTGAAATTGCTCCTCAGACTCCCTCAGATACTGGCATTTTCATGTGGTACAACCTACTGTATGTAAAAATCTTTCCTTCAAAAAACCCCAGTATTTTTCTGATACATAAGTGAGGTCATATACTTTGGACCTACCTTATCTCTTACCTTGAACATATTAGGTGTTTCATAAAAAATAAAGTGAATGCCTGAAAGCATAAGAGCAACATGTCATAAGTATAAGTTGCTTCTGACACGTAATATTCAATGTCAGTTGTAAATGTTTTCATCATACTTTGACATTTGTGCAGATCTTCAGAAATCTGTGTGGGAAAATTTACTTACTTTAAAAATGAAGTACATATGCTTTCCTTGTATATTGCATTGAAATAGTTAAGAAAGGAGTATTTCCAAAAGAGTAAGTGACAGGACTAGTGTCACTTCACATAGTGATAAAATAATAAGAGTAACTTAGTCGAAAAGTATAGTATTATATAAATAACTTACTTAATATTCATACTTTTACCTTAGAACTTCATTAGAATAAGACAATTATTATTTTTATTGCAGTAAGAGAGAACATTTTAATGCCAGTCATGTGGCAGGCAATATAATTTTAGTTTTATTTAATGCATACCAAAGCTTAGAGTGGTATTCCATTTATATATTCAAGAAATCTAAAGTTTGTAGAAGATACATAACGAATTCAAATTTACAAAGATAATAAGATTTGGGCTAACTCTATCTAGTTGCAAAACATGTATGTCTCATTAAATTAGAAGATTTAATCTGATCTGGTCTCAGTGAAAATTTACTTTAAATCCCCAGTTTTTCTGATGTTTCTAATCCTGGATAGGAGGAAAAATTAAAGAGAAAGGTATTTTCATTTAAATTTGGAATGTGAATAGCTATATTCATAAAAGCATATATAAGTCATAGACAAACACCAAATTCAGGGTAGTGTTCTTACTGGCAAAGCAGAAGTAATAAATATCGTGTGTGTGTGTGTGTGTGTGTGTGTGTGTATGTGTGTGTGTACTTCTTGGTGTAAATTAATATTTAAGAGACTTAGTAAACTATTTGAGTGTATTTCCTTGGTGTGAAATCTAAATATTTTACTTAATAAAGAACAAAATCGGACTACAAGTTCTTTCTTAGATGACTGACCTTGAGAGCATGAAAGAAACGGCCGAAAAATTTATAAATTTGCAGACTGCTTTTTTCTCCACTGTGTATCAGTCTAATTTGGTGTTTAACGTAGTACACCTCATCTTACTTTCTTTTTCTCATTCTATAATAGCAATATTGTCTCTTCCACCACACACATCTCTGTCCTGCACTTTATTCAGTGTCAAAATATATGGTGTGTGTTTGATTTATCGAAGTAAGGCTGTGTATCTGATGCTTGACTCTTTGCTTCCAGTCTTGAGTCTCCTGGAAAATACAGATTGTATGTTATCTTATTTCCAAATTAATACTGACGGCCTTAGTAGTGATCAAATAGAGATGTTTAATAATATTCAAAAATTGGTCTTTCTTGTGAAATAAGTGCTTCCTAACTTAGGTCCATTTTTATTTACTATTAATGTGTGTATTGAAGTCTACCAGACAGATTTTGACAACTAATGTAACAGATAGCATTGACTTCTATCACTTGTTTCATATGGAACTGAAGAAAAATTCTATTGCTGTCTGGCTGCTCTAACAAACTACTACAAATTTAGTGGCTTAAAACACTAATTTATTGTGTTACAACCTTGTCATTGAGAATTCTAAAGTGGATCTCACTGAGCTAAAATCAAGGTGTTGACAGAGCTGTGTTCCTTCTGGAAGAGTTCATTCCCTTGTTCTTTCCAACTTCTGGAGGCTGGCCCTCTTCCTCTGACTTGGAAGCCAACAACAGTGGTTTCATTTCTTCTCACATGTCTCTTCATCTGTCTTCCTCTTGTACATTTAAGAACCCTTGAGATTACATCGGGCCCACCTGGGTAATCCAGAATAATCTTTCTTGTTTTGAGGTTGGGTGATCAGTGACCTAATAGTGTTATATTAATTCCCATTTTGCCATGTAAGGTAACATATTCTGAAGGTTTCAGGACATGAACATCTATGGTTGGGTTATTATTTTGTCTTCCACACTTACCAAAATGGTAAGGGTTTTTTTTTTGTGACTCTGTCAATAATATTCACTGTTACTGGAACAAAACCGAGGGACGGTAGTAATCTCTTCACTTAATTCAGGACCTTTCTTGAAGTCTTAATAGATGACAAGTTTATTCACTCTAACTTCCACCATAGCTTTACTGAGAAGGTCTCATTTTTTGACATTCAAGAGTTTCTAGGTACCTTTGTCAGTATTACCAGTGTCAAAAATAAAGCTGTCTCCTGTTCCTTTATCAGAATTTAAGGGAACACAAGTACTATTAGCTATTTTTAAAATGTGCCAACATATATGAAACTCCATGAAAATTTAATGTAATGGGAGAGGAAGAGATTTTCTAAAAATTTCAGGCTTAGTGACTGAGACATTCATCATATACAGTGCTGCTAAATATGAGTGTTATTGACAATGTTACAGGAAAATTATTTGTATTCTGTGTAAAGCAAAGAAAGTAAGTTACAAATATGAATTTGGATTTTTTAAAAATAGTAATAAGACTTATTTGTTTTCTCTCAAATTGTCTTAAATAATGGAGCTGTTTTTCTTTTTTGCCACCCTACCTGCTTGAGGGCTTTTTAACATAAATGTATCTACACGTGTGTGTATGTGTGTGTAGATAGATAGAAGTGTTCACAGTGTTCTTGTAACTCTTGTTTTTCTCTTGCTGATATAATTTGATCTTAGTTAGAAGATATGAAAATGCTTTGTCTCTTTATCTGCTTATTTTTCCAACCTTATTTTTAATAGGATCGGAAACTCCATGGCACAGCTCAGCAACTTCTCCAGGACAGCAAGACAAAAATAGAAGTGATACGAATGCAGATTCTTCAGGCAGTCCAGACCAATGAATTGGCTTTTGACAATGGTGATTAAATAGAGATAACTTGTCATTCTTATGGGCAATATGGTACTAAATAAATTTTATGTAAGAAAGATGCAGTGATTTAAAATTAAAGAGGAGGCAGCAGGCAGCATTATGTGTTTTTTTGTTGAGTTTTTAATCTGAGTTTTGTTCTAAAAGGCTCTGTATCTCAACATTGTATCTATTAAGTACTGTGTTTTAAGGACTACTAATGTTGTAAGGCTTCATTTTTTATGAGTTTTAATTACTGATACTAAACACTGATGTAAATGGTTCAATTAATTTTTTTTTTTCCTCTTCTAGCAAAACCTGTCATAAGTCCTCTTGAACTTCGGATGGAAGAATTAAGGCATCATTTTAGGATAGAGTTTGCAGTAGCAGAAGGTGCAAAGAATGTAATGAAATTACTTGGCTCAGGAAAAGTAACAGACAGAAAAGCACTTTCAGAAGTAATTTTAAATAAAAGTTTTAACTTAATAAATACATTACTCAAAGAATGTACTTCTTTAAGTAACAACAATCATCTTTTCTCTGTTCAAGGCTCAAGCAAGATTTAATGAATCAAGTCAGAAGTTGGACCTTTTAAAGTATTCATTAGAACAAAGATTAAATGAACTTCCCAAGAATCATCCTAAAAGCAGTATCATTATTGAGGAGCTTTCACTAGTTACATCACCAACACTAAGTCCACGTCAAAGTATGATATCTACACAAAATCAATATAGTACACTATCCAAACCAGCAGCACTAACAGGTATGTAGCACATCCCTTCTGATGATTTTTGTTGCTTTTTTGGCTACATCTGTCCTTGTTTAATAAATAAATTAAAAACTGCACACACTTTTAACAATATTGTGGTGAGATACACATAACAGATTAATTATTTTAGCCATTTAAAAAATACAATTCAGAGGTAGTATACTTCTAATGTTATCTAACTATCACCACTGTCTAGTTAAAGAGGATTTTCATTATCCCAGAAGGAAATTCCATACCTGTTAAGTACTTACTCCTCAAACCCCTTCCCCCTCAACCACTATTGGCTTTTGCCTATATACATTTGTCTGTTCTAGGTATTTCATTTAAACAAAACTATGTATCATCCATGGCTTTCTGTGTCTAGCTTCTTTCATTCAGTGTACTGTTTTCAAGGTTTTTGTTCTTGTAGCATATATTGGAACTTCATTCTTTTTATGGCTAAATAATATTCCATTGTGTGGGTATATACTAGATTTTGTTTATTCATTCATCGAATGATGAATGTTTAGTTTGTTTTCACCTTTTGACTTTGGTGAACCAGGAGCAGACACTAACCGTATATTTTTTTAGACAACAAAAGGGCTTACTTCTGTCATTTTATTAATTGTTTTCTACAAGTCTTATTTTTTCCTGAATTCCTTTCATACAGCTTTCCTTTCTTTTTGAATTTTTCTACTTTACCTTTTAAATTCCCTTCTTGTTTCCTTTTCTGTCTATTTTTAGGTATATAAGTTATTTTCTTGGTGTTTATCCTGATGCTTACAACCATCATCCTAAATTTATAACGGTCTTGTTTGAATTGTTACCAATTTATTTTCAGTAGCCTACAAAAATTCTGATCTTATACAGCTGTTTTTCCTGTCTTTATACATCTTTATGCATTGTGTGTCCATTAGCATAGATTATAATTATTATTTTATACATTTGTCCTTTAAGTCATGAAGGAAACAAAAAGTTTAAAAACCAAGAATATACTATTACTGGCTTTTATGTTGACCCGTAAAGTGAGTCTTACTGGTGTTATTTTTATCAGATGTTGTTACATTACTGCCTAGTGTCCTCTCATTTTTATCTGAATGACTTTGCATTTCTTCCAGGCAGGACTATTTGGGACAGACTCCCTTGACTTTTGTGTATTTGAGAATTTGTTATTTTCTTCATTTCTGAAGGATAGTTTTGCCCTGTGTACAATGCTTAGATGACAAGTTTTTATTTTATTCTTTCAGCGCTTTAAAAATGTCATCCCAGTTCCTCTTAGCCTTTATGCTTTCTGGTGAAAAATAGGCTTTTAATCTTACTGAGAATTTCTTATAAGTAATGAGTTGCTTCTCTTTTGCTACTTTCTGGATTCCCCTTTGTCTTTGTTTTTACGCTGTTCGATTATATTTCTCATAGTGATCATCTCTTTTGAGTTTACCCTACTTAGATTCTTTCAACTTCTTCATGTGTAATCCATGTCATTCATCAGATTTGGGAAGTTTTCCGCCATAATTTCATCACATGCTCTTTCTGCTACATTCTCTTCTCTCCTGAGACTCCCATAATGTGTATGTTTGTATTCTTGATGTTATCCCAGAGGTTGCTTTGTCTCTGTTTCCCTATATTATTTATTTTAATTTTTGTTGACAACAACAAATGTTTATTGATGTACTGACATTTCAGGAGACCAGATTCAGAAGTAAACACAAAAACAAGCATCAGCTTTCATAGGTATCAGAAATTATAAGTGTGAAGCAAGCAAGCATCAGGAGTCAGTCTTCTCACCACCAAGTTTCCATGAGCCCAGTTCACACACATGAATTATGTCTCTGCTTTGAACCACCAAATTTTCTCTTAAAAACCCAGCTTTAGTAGAGCTCCAAAAAAAAAAAAAGGGAAATAGGTTAGGTCAATTGCAAACTATTTTTAATTTCATTAAGTTTTAATGATGCAGAGAGCAAACTGTATATATAAACAGCACATATTTGACATGTACGGTTTGAAAACTTTTGACATAGCAACCCCCAGAAGGTTTCATGTCTTCTTTATAAACTTTCCTATTACTGTTATTTTTTATATATATTTAATTCTCTGGTGTTGATGTTTGAATAGCATATACACTTTTTTTTCTATTCTTTCCTGAACTTTGTAGTTGTTGAAACAAATGGCTGCTGTTATTTCATTTCATTTCTCATATAGCTTTTTAGTTATGCTTGTCTGTGTGTTTGCTTGTCTTTTTAGTTATGCTTGTTTGTATATGTGTTCATTGCTTAATTTAGAGATTCAGGTATTCATATTGATCTTATTACCATCTCTGATCATAACATACTGTTACTTTCAAATCAGTTTAAGAAATTTTTTGAAGACACATTTGCAAATCCTTCCATGCCTGCCTTTCTTGTAGTAATGTATTTTACTTATACAAATGCATCAGTAATCTACATGTTAATATTGGTTTTTATTTTAAAGAGCTAAGAATTTTAAGGATATAGTTTGCTATTTTCAGAGTATTTTTCTCAAAACAAAACATTGCCTTTGTATTTAGTGACCCTTTTATTCTTTTTTTATCTTCTTGTTGCAGTTTTCTCTGTTACAATTTTCCTCAGCTCATAAAATTTCTTCTAGCATTTATTGTATGAAGATGTTCTAGAGTCTAACTCTTTCACATTTTTCCTGTAGGTTTCACTTTAATTTTTAAAGAATGTTATTAGTGGATATAGAAATCTTATTTTCTTTCAAAATGTGATTTTATGATTTTTCTTTTAAAATTTGATTTAATGTATTCTGGCTTCCATATTTCAAATTATGAGAAGTTAGCTGTAATTGTTAATTGGTGTTTTTCTTCATGCAATGTCCCTCATTCCTCAGCAATTCCATTAATGTAGAATTATGTTTATTTTGTTGTTGTTGCTGTGTTTGTCCCTAAGACCGCATGGTTTCAAGTGACCTGTCTTCAAGTTTGCTGATTCTTCTGCCTTCTCAGCTATGCTGTTGAACCTCTGTAATAAGCTTTTTAATATTTTAGTTATTTTACTTTTGAACTTTGGGATTTCTATCTGGGTCTGGTTATAAATTCTGTATATTTATTAACATTCTCTATTTTTTGAAACATCATTCTTCATTTTTTTTTTTTTTGCCTTTGATTTCCTTTAGGTCTTTGGCTATATGTAAGACAGTTGCTATAAATTCTTTGTCTAATAAATCCAGTATCTTTGCTTCCTTAGAGACAGTTGTTCTTAATTTCTGCTTATCATGTGCATCACCTATACTTTCTTATTTCTCTGCTTACCTCATAATTTTTTATTGAACACTTCATATTATAAATATTGTGTAATTTCAGATGGCAGAATAGGGAACTGCTAAAAGCTCACTTCCTCCTATAATCACATCAAATTACAACTAAACTACTGAACAACTGTCATTGAGAACCACCTGAAGTCTGTCTCAACAGAAGTACTATAACTAAGGACATACAGAAGAAGCCACATTGAGACTGGTAGGAGGGGCAGAGACACAAAATGAGCTGATCCCACAATTACATGTGGCAGTTAAAAATCCTGGGGGATATTTTGGGTGCAGAGGTCTCCCTTGTTGAATTAGGGATCTCAACCCCACACCAGGCCCCAAGTCCAGAGTTCCAGTCCTGGGAAGAGAAGGCTCCATAACTTCTGGCTGTGGAGAGCCAGTGGAGAGATTGGGGCTTAGTGAGATGGAGGGCTTCTGGAGTCCTAGGCATTCCTCTTAAAGCCTATGCATGGACTCATTTGCTGATGGACTCACTCTCTTTAAGCTCCAGTGCTGGGGCCGCAGCTCTAAAAGTGCCATAAACACACGAGAGGAACAGAATTGTCTGGTGTCAGGGTATTGGCCAGAGGGGCAGCTTTCTCCCAGGCAGAAGTGCTGTCAAGAAGCCACTGTCCCTTTGATGGGCCTTCTCTTGATCCAGCCTCCATCTCCAGACGGGAGCCATATCTGAGTCCCTATCAACCTAACACCCTTTGCCCTGCCCTGGAGATTCCATGAGACCCTGCCCATGCAAACTTGCTAGCCAACCCAAGCCTCTTCCCATCACTTTTCCATACAAATAGCCTGTGCTGGATCATGTTACAGATATTCCTAAAATGACTTGACCTACAAGCCCAGGCATCCCAGAGTCGTCCCAACAAGATGAACCCAGAGATTAATTAAAATGGTAAAGGTGGCAGTTTCCAATCTAATTTCAAAGTTTGAGAGGTTGTACAGTGTCCAACGGGTACACACATTCCATTAAGAGAGTTATTTAAAAATGAAATGTTACTTTTAAAGTATTTTAAAAAATATACTTTTGTGTGTATTTTTTATATAGTTATTTGTTGCAATATTCTGTGAAACAGTTGTTGGGTATATCTTTCAGGAGTACAATGAAAATATTGAGACACTAGGGTACCAGGAATTGAGAAAGCTTGGGAATGTCTTGTCTAAAACCTCCATTTTATATCAGATGTTTTAAATAGTTATTATTTAATATATTTTTCTAGCTACATCTTTTATAACTCTACCATGAAACTTCTATCACAGTTAAACTGGTTTGTGCACAGTGCCTGCTTAATGCCTTTGCCTTATTATCCAACTTTTTATTGTATTTTTTAGAATCAGAATTGGAATATAAACCTGTGAAGAACAAAGACCTTGTCATTAACCTACATGTAATTCCAGCCCTTTCCACAAGACAGTTAATACAGGGTGGGACAAAAGTAGATTAAGAGTTGGTTCATATGAAAAATAATATAGTTAATAAATAACTTAAGAATGAATTCTGTGCTTCACATACATCTATAAAACCTACTTTTGCCCTACCATGTACATTCAGCAGATAAAGTAATCCCCTCTTATCTGTGGGGGATACTTCCAAGACCCCATTGGATGCCTGAAACCATGGATAGAACTGAATCCCACGTGTACTATGTTTTTTTCTATACATACATACCTATGATAAACTTTAAATTAAACACAATAAGATATTAACTACAGTGCCC